GCAAAGGCGCAGGCGAGCAGGGGCTCATTTGTGCGGGGAGTTCTTCCCAACAGCCATTACCACTCACTCCTCGTGTGGACGCAATTATCCTGGGATACAAGAGGCTTCTTCTGAACGAACTGAACGCACTCCCAAAGCGCCGACCCATTTCGGAGCGACGCATTCGTATACAAGAGCATCCACACAAAGAGCTAACGAGGAGCTGCTCCCCCACCGAGTCCGCACTGCCCCTTCGCCCCAGTTACATTTTCTCCAGCCCCGCGTTACACGGGGGGTTACCGCCACTTGGCTGAATATCCTTTGCCTCCCAGCGCCCTCTCCACAGTCTGCTCTCGGCAGCGACGGGCTCTTACCCTCCTCAGCTTTCGCCGCTGTCCCTTCCTCCTCCTCCGAGCTTTCGGAGCTGCTCACGGGGTCCGGAACGCGGATCTTCTTCTCCAGAACGGCTCCTGCCCCATCAGCTGCCTTTCGCTTCTTGGTGTTTGGGGGAGCCCTGAAGGACAGCGTTTGCAAGAAGCAGAGAGAGGCATCAATACGGGAGGCAGCCGTGACACCGGCAGCAACACATCCGGCCTTGTATTGCTACGGCTGGCGGCTCAGTTCTGGAGAGCAACAGCAAGCACTTTTCTTCCGCTTGCGAGAAGCGTTGAAGTGACCCAAAGAGCATCTGCCAGGACTTCGCCGCCGCCACACCTCGGAGCAGTACCGAGCAGATCTGAACAGGATCAGGGGACGGCAGGACCCGCTAATAGGAAGCAAGGGATTTCACACTAAGTAATTGGGAGAAACACTTTCTGCTTTAGCAATCGAGCAAACGTGTTTGTGCAGCCTCACGTCAGACCGGTAGCGAAGGCTGGGCCGGTTCTCCATCAGACAGGCCCCAACACTGATTCAAGATCCACAGCAGCCGCCCAAACCCAAAGGATCGCATGGAAAAGACGGGCAGGGCAACAGCTAAGAGGCTAACTGGCCCACAGGACCACGAGCAAGAAACTGCTTTATCAGATGTTAGGAACGGACTGGCAAAAATAGAAGATTTTATATAGAAGGGAAAGGGACCCAGGAGGGACCCTGTGAAGAGAGGTAGCAAAGGGCTGGATTAGATCGGCGAAGGCAGTTCCCACCTGAAGGGATGCTACAGCAACCAGCTCTCTCGACCTGCAAACCTTGTAATGACGGGCTAAGACGTTCGAGCGTTTCCGATTAAGCGCCCAAGCCAGTAATACTAAGAAAACAGGAGAAGGCAGGATGCTCCAAAAGCTACCGAAAAGCCTTATGCCGTCCCATTTGCAAGGCACCCGATAATGCTCTGGGCTCAGGTCTCGTTTGTACAGCATTGCAATGATGCCACGTAGCAGAGCTACAAGGGTTCGGTATCATTGTAAGCAGCAATCCTCGGGTGACAGAGCCCTTGATTTCCCCGTCACCAGGTCTAACTGGCCCAGCCTACCCCACATCTGCCATGCTGGGGTCACTACCCACTACAACAACAAGGCTAAAGCGGCGTTGCACAACTCAGCCTGGGGAGAGCCTTGCTTTGTGCCATTCAGACAGCCCGCTCTCCGGCTGCTCGAAGACATCACCCAAAGGCTCCAAAGAGATTTCCTCCCATATCTGGAGGACGGCACGAGGGCAAAGAAGAGGTGGCCTCTTCAGAGACTGCTGTGAGCAGCACAACTCGTCACATCAGAGCACAGCAGCTCTGCAGGGCAGAGTCCCCTCCTGCAAAGTTTATGTGCAGGACTAGACATAACAGCAAAGGCAGACACCAAACAAGGTGCGAGTCTGGGGACACAGAGCTGGCTGGGGCTACAAGAAGTGAAGGCTCACATCACAGGATATTTGCATCTCAGCCGCACCTTGAGGTTTTTTTTGAACTTCTATTCAAAAAACAAACGTAGGTGCTGCAGCAGAGTGCGTAGCACCTAGCATCGTCTGCACGTTTTGCATGAACAGGTACATTCGCCATCACGACGCGTGGGTGCAAGTAGCACGGGCAGCGAGATCTCTAGCCGAGCTGCAAAACTAGGTTTCCTCACGCTCGGCTCTTTCTTGCTTAGGTGCCCGCGCAATCCCCAGAAAGGAAGCTGTGGAGTTACGTGCACAAACGTGGGCAAGGCGCGAGCTGCTGCTGTGCTAGGCGACACGGCCACGTGCCATGCTTTGGCTGCAGTGAAACCTATGAACTATCTTCCAAGGCAATTAGTGGCTGAATGCCACTTCCACTAAGATGCTTCGCGCCCTGCTGATTCAGCACGGGCAGCATCTTCCAGGAATAACTGAATATGCCAGTCCCTTTGATAGCTGCTTAAGCCAGTTTTCCTCGTATGCACGTCTGCAGCATCACACTGCCACGTGTTAAACTAAAGCAGAGAGCGCACTCAATGGGCGCGAGATCCTGAGCGCACGTTTATTTTATGCTCCATAAACACAAAAGCCCCGCTGCTGCTGCAGACGTCCATGCAAATACGTTGGTCCCTCCAAGGATCTCAGCAGCAGCACTTGGGGAGGAAGTTTACTTACACAGGCAAGCTCCTGAAAGAGCTGCCTTGGAAAAAAAAGAAAGCAAAAGCAAACTTCCAGGTCATTGGGTCACACCAGATTCAGTTTGGGGCACAGGAAAACCAGTTGCAAAAATGTTGCAAACATTGCAAACCAGTTGCAAAAATGCGGGGTCTCCAGGTTGTAGCCATACTGGTCTAGAGGAAAAAGCAATCGGGGTTCGTGGTAGGGGTGACAGCTCTTATTAGAGCGACAAGATTTTTGCAAAAAAAAAAATTCTTTAATTGCAAGCTTTCGGGCACAAACACCCTTCATCGGGCATCGGAGACAAGACTGTAAACGTTCTGGGTAGACATGAAAGTTCGTATTTCATAGGATTTCACAGAGGAGTCAACAGATGGAAAACTCCTCTGAGCAGCAGGTCTTCGCTGGGAAGGAGTCTCTGAACTTTCATTTCTACCCAGGAGAACTTTGGCAAGCTTTTCTCTGCTGCCTCATGAAGGGGGTTTGTGCCCAAAAGCTTGCAATAACATTTTTTTTGCAAAAATCTTGTTGGTCTAATAAAAGATATCGCCTCTACCACGAGTCCCGATTGCTTTTTCAGCTATGCCAAGAGTTCTTGCCCCCAAGGAAAACCACGGTGCCCTGCTTCTGCAAAAGATAGTCTGTGCATGCTGGATCAGGGCCTAAGTCCTGGGAAAGCTCAAGCTGCCAGGAGCTGCGTGAAGTGGAGAGAGAGAAAAGCGCTGGTGAAAGATTTTTGCTGGCGGATGCTTTCCTGCCCCCTTAACCCTCCCACATGCAGTGCAACCAGACCAACCAGTATTTGACTCTCATGCCCTAGGAGAGCCAGGGCCTCCGCCTGTCTTTTAAGCCGCTGTAGATGCAGAAGGCAGGGGATGGTAGCTGAGAAGACACCATTGTTCAAACCATGTTTCCACCTTGCAGCAGCAAGAGTATTTCCGGTAAGTCAGCCCACCCCGGCAAGCAGAAACCGCAAAGGCAGCAGAATTTGGTTCCTGCTATGGTGAGAGAGGAAAATGAGTTGGAGCCTTTTTGATAAGGGTTTCTACTGGACGGACTTACTTCTTCCAGTGGGTGAAGATCTCCTCAAGAGAGGTCGGCAGCGAAGGAAACTCCTTCTGCGGGAGAAACAGAAAGGAAGCGTTATTGCCGGTTCTTACCAAGGTGCAAGGGAAAGCAGGAAGCAGGTGGAAAGACACTGCGAAAAGCATGACTTCGGGGGTCTCAGCAGATGACTAAGAAACCATCAAACGTAACTGCAACCCCCATCTTTTCATTTCAAGATCCGTTACCAACACGATACAAATGAAGTCGAAGGACTCGACCGCCCCGTGCAACTCGGGAGAGCTCCACCCCCGCGAGCAGAAGGATTTACGTGAAAGGTTTAGTCTCGGGTCTAGACTGCAGATGTTTGCACGGAGAAAAGGCACCGCGGGTGAGGATCAGCGCCACGTGGGATCTCCACCAGCTTCGCTCAGGACTAAGGTGCCTGGCAGCAGTATTTAGGGGCAGTTCACAGCGTCTCTTTGAGCGGGACCGAGTTTGAATTACCGCTCTCCATCCTCGCCTTTGCAGCCCGTTGAAGACGAGGGATGCCCACTTCCGGGGAGGCTGACTGGAGGTTTCCAGCACGCTTCTGGCTACGTGCACAGAGGCCAGTCGGCACGTGCAGCCCTCGACAGCCCGTGAAAAGTCGGCAGGAGTGCTTTGGCTCACCAGCTGAGGTCGAGGGGATATTCATTCCCCCTCCACCCCGTGCACAGGTGCAGATACAGCAGTGAGACCAAGCTCGGGATGCCTCCTTTCCCAGTTGGCTTTTTATTTTAAAGCAAAGGTCTCACTTTTCCACGAGGCCACGCAGGCCCAAAGAAAAGCGCGCCCCGCTCGAAGCAACCCGTCAGTCAGTCTGGCGTCTGGTCCAGATCACACGGAAACCACCAGCTCTGCGCAGCCCCCCACACACCGTGGGTTATATCTGGAGGTGCCGGGGTGAAGCAGGAATAGCCGAGGTGGCCACAGCACGTCTGCCTCGTCACGGGGCAGTCACAGGAGCACAAGCAAGCGATTGTTGGGACCTGTCAACAGGCTGGAAGCAGCGGCCCTGGGGAGCGGGGGGCTGCAGCCTGGCCCTGCGGTTCCTCCCAGGCGGGGCCGGGGGGGGGGGTAAATGCAACGCAATCAAATCCAATGCAATGCAGTGCACTGAAATCATAGACAAGGAGGGGGGTCACGTGTAGTCCAAGCAGGACCAGGCCCAACTCCGTCATCCCAGCCAAGGCTTTGTCTACCCGGGTCTTAAAGGCCTCCAAGGCTGCAGACTCCAGCACCTCTCTGGGGGGCCCGCCTAGGGAGACAGTTCTTGCTGACACCCAGCCCGCCCCAAGGCCGCCTCCGGGAACGTAGCAGACGGCTCCTCTCCCACCTGGGTCCCCGCCTGGCGCAGACTCTGCCCGGCCGCGGTGCAAGCGCCTGGTCCGGACCCTTTAAGCCACGCTCGGACGCTCATCCGACCCCAGCAAGCTTCCTGCCCTGCGGCTGGGCCCGCTGATTCCCGGGCGGCCACGCCGCTTCGCCCGGGGCCTCGTGGACCTGCGCTCGGGCCCAGGCTCAGCCCGCACGGGCAGGGAAAGCCGGCCGAGGCTGCGAGCGGGGCTGGCGAGCCCAGCA